AATTTGCAAAAATTTTAATTTTTCATAATTTATAAAAAATAATCTATTAAATTTAGTACATACGTATATATATATGCTTTGTATTAAGCCTTCGCGAATCAAATAAAACAATGACGAAGTAATTAGAACACTGTTGAATTGCTCTTTATACTTTGAATTAGAATGAATATGAAACAGTAAATAAAATTATTCTTTATGAAGTAACTTTGATAATTATATAGCAAATGTGTTTGTCTTTTACTAATTATTAAATATTAAAGTTGAAAATTAAAAGGAAAATATCATTTATGTTATCAAAGAGTTTTATATAATAGTTAAGGTATTATTTGAATAAATATAATAAAAATATCAAATGTGGAAGCAAGTTCTTATTATAATTATTAAAAGTAATAAATTTTATTATTAATATAAGCATATATTATTTATTGCATATTATAAAATATTTTTTAAAATTATTTCGATAATGAAATGTTTTATCTGTTATACTTATAATTTGTAACTTCATATATGCTTATATAACTTAGTGAGGGTGGACCAACCTTTATTATTCGAATCAATAAATTTTCCTAGTTATATCCTTAATAATTTTACCCTTAATTCCAATTATAAATTTTCTACTAACTAACCTGTAGTTAGTTGAAAATTTATAATTGGAATACGAATTTTTGTTTGCATGAGTATAGTTCTATCTTTTGATCATAGTGCAAATAGAAAGACACGGACTTTTTCAGTGGCGCCGGCTCTAGTACCTGGTTACATTATGACTTTAATAGAAATGAAACAAAAAAATACTTATATTAAGGTTAGGTTACATTCATATAATATAACCAATTTTATTAGATCAAAACAAGTACACATTATAGATTATAATGTGTTTTTATACAATTAGATACAAAAATTAAAGATTAAAAAAAAAACGTCTTTCATCATTATATCAGCCGTCCACTGTTGATCATAAGCCTCTCCAAAAGAGGTTAGTTGTCACGCATGGCAGGCGGATTGGCAATCGCAGTCAGGCTTTGGTGATGTCCTAAGAAGGACGCCGCTGTCCAACCCTTAGCCAAAAACTTTCTAAGTCGCCTCTTACGACACCCACGGGAATGGAAGGGGTGGCGTATTCTATACCGGGACTATACCGCCATTATTTACTTAAATTATAAATACGAAAAACAATTCATTTGTTTCTTATCCCTTAAAACATTAACGGCTCAACCAATCGTCATGAAATTTGATATAATCCTACTGTATGAAATGGAGAAGGACAATAGCTTCTGTTTATCTCACTCAAACGACATAATCCGGTTATACAGATGAAGCACCAGGTAAAAGCTTATCCTATTAATATAATAATTGCGAAAATTTGTAACGATGGGTGGATAGATACTTGGTAATCTTTCACGTAGAAATTTGGTACACGAGTAGGTTATATTTTAAGTTAGCACATAGAATAAGTACTTTATGTGACGATTTACGAGAGCGGAACCACAGAGCGCAGCTAGTCTTAAATAAAACAAAAACAATTAATAATTATTTATTATCCAGAAATTATTGCTCTAAACTAATTTAAATAAAAATTTTGTTTTGAAATTAAAACGTATATGGTCATACGGCGCCCTCTAGATGTATTTGGTGAACTTTTCCCTAAGCTTACCATCGCTTACTATTGTTAGAATGCATTGTTATGTTAGGGTAGATGGCATTCAACCACAGCGATCCTATAATAATATATTCTTATTTAGTACGTATTTTTAAGGCGTGATTTTTCAATAATCGAGATTTAGTTTTTGAATCTTAATTTTTATTTAAATTATTTTAGGGTAATAATTTTTTGATAAAGTATTCTCAGATTTACTAAAAACTCGAATAGAAAATATGTTTGGTCCACATCTGAGGTGTGTTGCAAAAAAGGCCGCAGGCAACAGCTAAGGCTAATTAAGCCCTTTTATTTGATACCCAATACAAGGTTGTTAGAATTTTTCTTCGTTTATAATGTTATATTTTCTAGAGAGAGTGCACTAATAAATTTAATGTAATGTTACATATCCAATAACCAGTTGATATAATGTTATATTTTTCTGAGAGAGAGATATACAAAATCATAACCCTCCTTTTTGCACTAATAAATTTAATGTAATGTTACATATCCAATATAGAACCAGCTTCATAATTAAAAATTATTCATTTTAAGACCGTTGTTATCCTTAATACAGAAAAATATATTAATCTCTACTAACGTCATAGAAATACTCGGCAATAGGCATACACAACGTGTTAAGCAATCACTGACTAGCTTTTTAGTATAATACTGTATAGAATGGCAATGGCATACCCGTGTGGACCTGGCATAGAATAGATCACCCTTTCCTTTCCCGTGGATGTTTTAAGAGGCAACAAAGGAAGTTTAATGGTCAAGAGATGGATAGCAGCGTCCTTCTTAAAACATCTTCAAAGCCTAACAGTGGTTGCCAATCCACCTGCCAAGCGTGGCAACTATTGGCAAATCATGCCAAGGGCGTGATTTATGTTCAGCAATGGACAGTTAAAGGCTGATATGATGATGATGATGATAGAACGGCAAAGAAGCAGACGGCCCATCTGATGTAGAGTAGTAACCGTCACCCATAGACATGAACTGCACCATCATTTTTTTGTTAATCTTCTATACTTATAATAAATCTGTAGAGAGGTCAATTCTATACATGAAATATATTTTAAAAATAATAATAACTATCAAGGGTAATTAGTGATCGATACTGATGCCAAAAATGCAATCAGTAAAATTTTTGTCTGTCTGTCTGTGTGTTCGTTATAGAAACAAAAACTACTCGACGGATTTTAACGAAACTTGGTACAATTATTTTTCATACTCCTGGGCAGGTTATAGTATACTTTTTATCACGCTACGATCAATAGGAGCAGAGCAGTGAAGGGAAATGTTGGGAAAACGGAAGAAGTTACTCCATTTTTAAGCTTCCGTCGCGTGTGCAGTCTTAATGGCCACTTTTTAAAATGTAAAAATGTCCCATGCGAAGCCGAGATGGGCCACTAGTCCTTACTAAAGTTATAAATATGAAAGTGAGTTTATTTATTTGTTACCTTAAAGCGCCTTAACGACTTTACCAATCACTATGAAATTTTGTATACATAATACTATATGGGATGAAAAAGAATATAGGCTATAAATTATCCCGGTCAGTAAACATATCCCAGTCACGCGGAAAAAGTCGCGAGTAAAAGCCAGTATTTGAATAAATTGCAGTTGCATGAGGTTTCATTAAAATCATATGCACTATCAATCACTTTGTCAATCCCAGTAGTACAAAAAAAAATTGAACTAATTGGCTTCACAACCCTCAATCGGTGTCAAAAGTTCAGACTGAATTGTGTGTACAAGCTGTTAAAATTGAAAAATTGTTTTAAATTTATATTCGGAGTTTAAATACCGCGACGCAGTTACCTTATTTTTTAACCTGCGACGTATAAAGGGGTGTATTATAAATTTAACATATCTATCTGTGTGTCTGGCTGTGGCATCACAGTTTGGGAGCTAATAAATAGACCGATTTTAATACGGTTTTTTGTTTGAAAAATGATGTAAGTGTGATGATTCTTAGTAATAATTTATGAAAATATGTTCAAGCATTAGACAAAATTATAAATAATAATAATATAAAAACAATCTACTTTTCAGTTCTTTTTATTTGCCGATAATATTTTTGTATCATACTATTAGATTAGAATTGTTAAATTAAGATTGTGTAGCGGTTTTATATTAATTAACGTATGCCTTTTACTGTGTGTATTTGTAGATACTCTAACTGTTATATAGTATGTACAATAGTATAAATATGGTTGAGCGCAATAATGGCTGGCTCAACCGTCATACTCGTGAACGGGTACTGCCTGTAGAGGCACTGCAACTGACTTACTTTATTAATTTCTATTATTTATATATATATTATATATCTTAGAATGACAAACAAGCTGACGACCCACCTGATGAAAAGTAGTAACCGTCGCCTATAGACATGAGCAGTACCATGGACACAACAGAGTATACTGTTTCAATATGTTCGATATGTCATATACTATATTATATATTTTAAAATTTATGATCTGATACTGTAACAATAACACAATCTTTGCCTGTGCTGTATAATTTTTAATAAATTTATTTTTTATGTTAAATTATTTTGTATTTTCTTAAATTATGATGACGATTTGATTAGATAATAATATAGAAAAACTACATTCAAACGAATTGAGAAAAATAATTATTATACGAAAAGTGTATTTTGAATAATAAATTAATATTAAAAAATGTTTAAAAGTTTAATTTAAAATGACAAATACGTAATAAAAAAATGTAAAATATTTATCGTCATATATAAATATAAACAACCCGACAAGTATTCTATAATGCCCATAGACATTGTAGAACAAACTATATTGCCCATCATAAACCAGTTTACATTAATTGTTTTTTTTATTAAAACACCATTTAAAATCATATATAATTTATATTTAATTAAAGTAATATATTTTATTTAAATAACTGCACAAGAAATATCAATAATACTGAGTAAACAATAAAATTGAATATTTGACGTCCAAAATTTAATTAAATGCCATTTGTAAAGTTCCGTCATTTCACTGTTCTTCATCAAAATATCGAATATAATTAAGAGAGAATCTCTTGATTATATTTTTTTTCTAAAATCGGACTCTTTTAATTTAAAATACATTAGTCTAATTACATCGATCAGTTTTATTAAAAATCGATAAAACTTTATTAATTGATTTATTACATCTTAAAATGGACTTTTAAATTAATGTTACACCTAAATGAATTTATTGCGTAAAATATAAAAGTTAATTGTATAAATTTCTAACTGTAAAATACTATTTTAAAGTTTGCCGTTACGTAAACTTTAATATATATTTTTAATAAATTAAATGCACAAAAAAAAACTTTTTTTAGTAATTTTTGTTTTACATACCTGCAATCACAAAAATGTTAAAGTTAAAAAAAAAAACACGATATAAGTACACAAGTTCACTTTTAGCACTCCACTCGATCGCACTAAGGAATTTTGTGAGGACCGACGACCGCTCCGTACCGAGACCCAAAAGTAACTGTTCGAGAGTGCCCATAACTTCAGATCCGTAGTTTAGTTTCAGTAATTTAAATGCGTAATATTTAACTGGTATTCACAACAATCGCTGTTCACGTTAAAATAATTAACTATGTTTGGAAATTCAAATTGAATCGCAATATATTTTTTTTCACTGACTACCTTTGCAATGCATTTGAGGTTATCGCTCCATCTAGTAGAAGGCCAGTGGATGCAGGTAGCTTGGAACTGTTTCAGTTAATTATCCATGAGGGTGGCCTATGTTCAGCAGTGAATAGTTCAGTAATAGCTCACATGATGATTATGATGTTTTGGTGAGGAAAATTTTACTTACACTCTCTCAATTAGAATTATATATTTAAATTTTGTCCTTTTAGGACTTATATAAATAGTCATCACTAATTGGTTCCGTGCAGTTCACAGTTATTCACATTAATAACATTAATAATTGCTAATATTAAATTAATGATTATATGCAAGACACTTATAACTAACAAACTAGGAATGTTACTGTACTTTCTTCATATATTACATGAATAACATTTGGAAATAGAATTATTTGTCATCAGTCCAACTTCAACGTAGCATCTCATCTACGGTAATACTACGTCGTAGCGCTATCGTAGCACTAATACGTAGCATTAATTCTACGTGAAATGTAATGGTTCTTACTTAAGTATATAAACGGTATAATGAACTAGATCATGTGAGAATTAAAATGAAATGTATTATCAATGTACGTATTAATTTATAGTATAGTTCAAATCCGTTTCTAAATTAAAACGTAACTGAATAAAACAAAAACTTTAGCATTTTTACAAACTTGCACGTTAATATTGATATTATTAGTGATAGTAACATGTGTACACATATATCTTCTCAGCAGAACATTTCAATAGAATATAAAATAATATAATAAGCTTTATTGACTCTTATACATACAATATATATTAATTTAATCTTAGAAAAATTAATCGAATATTATTATTATCATATTTTTATTTTTTTATTTATTTATTCTTTATTGCACAATAAAACTTTGTACAAGTGACGAGCTTAATGCCAATTACCCATTAGGTAAAAAAAGAAAGCGTATGAAGGGCAGATGTGGTGAAAAATATGTGACATAATTATAGCAACATACTGAAATAATTATACATAATAATACATAAGAAATACACATATAACACATAAATACTACTTACGATAAACACATAAATATTACTTACTAGTTCATTAATTTCCCGTTGTATATGTATATAGACATTAAATGATATATTTTTTCCATTCAATTCTACATTTGCTGACGAATAAAAATAATTACGTATATATGACGACTATTCTACTTTCCAGCTCGATTCATCAATTCTCAAAACCCGCGGACAGCCATTGGCGAACCCATATGACATATTTCATAACATTTTTCATGCTTTGTTTCTATTGTTCAAAACTGCATAATCTCCATATTAATACGATCTTTTGTTCACAGTTTGATTGAGCTGAATTCCGGATTCGATGAATGATAAATGGGCCATTGAAAAATGAAAATTCTTGTGTCCGGAGGGATAACCCGCCAGCGACTATGAAATTTTCATAATAAGTGGTAGCCTTAATTCAATTTAGATGAACGTTACTTTTTATAGTGAATATTAGGAATTTAATGTGACAAAATCAGAAAAGTAGTACTTACAGTTTATTCGATATTTACAATATTTTAATAATATACGAGTAGTAATGTGTTAAAAAAACAAAATTTAAAAAAATTTGCTATGTTAATAATTAGAAAATATTTAAAGTATTAGAACTCCTTACTGGTAATGCCCATTTTTTTTAAATTCCTTCCCATTTCGTGGTGCGCAACTGTGAAACAGGCTACCTGCTAATATACAGGATAGCCCTTCTATTACTTTCTTCAAGAAAAGATTGAAATCTCACCTTTTAATTAATAAACATGTTAATATGCACTAACTGTTATATTTGTGTATGTATGTATTATTTACATGATTTTTACCTGTACCTTTCCCCTGTACGATTACCCGCCAAATAATTATTTTCTGCCTAACTGCCATGGGTTGGCTGGAAGAGATCTCTTTTAGAGATAGACCCACCATTGCTAACAAGTTGTTAAATTAATCGCTGTACCTTTTGTTCAAGTGCAATAAAGAATATAAAAGTAAAATACAATTAGCTGAAATAATGCATATTTCGATACGTATCATCGTACCAGTATTTATAATAAGGAACGGTCTTGAGCTACCTGTATTCACTGACTCCTTACAATGTAATTAAGGTCGTTACTTCATTTAGTGTGGGCCAGCCTATATTGCGTTTGCTGTACAGGGTCGCCACCCAATAAACTATCTTCCTCATCGATTATCATTTCTTCGAGTTATGTGACCAGCCTGTTACAATTTTAGCTTCATTATCCTTCGGGTTATGTCTGTCACTTCAGTTTTTTGCGAATATCGTCATTCCGGATTCTATCACGCAAAATACTAGCATAACCCTCTCTATAACTGGCTGAGTAAGTTGAAGCTTTTGCATACGGGCAACCGTGTAGGAACATGTTTCGATTCCGTAGGTTATCACCAACTTTGAGGTATTTTGGATGTAGGGTATATATCGTATTATTGTTGTATTTCATATTATTTCATAAATTCTGATCTCTAATGCAATATTTAAAAAAAAATCGAATACTCATTAAAAAATGAACATAGACAAACCAAGAGTTTTTCAAATAAATGTATAGGGTTTATTTATTATATATATTATATAATTTCAAATAAAATTATTCGCTGAAAAATAGACACAGGTTTCTCCTTAGCATATAAGGACATTAGCTTGCTATAATCACGATGGCCAGGTGGCTCGGTACCGACCATCCGTTCTTTTCCAGTAGATGTCGTAAAAGGCGACTAAGGGAACTTAATGGCCGAGTGCCAGTAGCGTCCTTCTTAAAACTTCACTAAAGCTAAACTGCGTTTATCAACCCGCCTGCCAAGCGTGACAATTACTGGCAAAGTCTAACTGGCTAACTGACCTATTTTATATACCTACATTCACCTACTTCTTACTGGTACCCCGCCAGTGTATACCGATAGCGCAGGCGGAGTTACCATGTCATTTTTACCCATTATATATTTATGATTATATAAACTCTTTGGCATTTGTGTCTATAAATGAAGATAGATATTATTTTTAATTATGTCTATAGATTTACATTGATTGTATCCGTAGTCAATAGTTGTAAAATATGCTTTATTTTAGGATACTGAAAAAAAATATAACTGCTATCGTGTTACATAAATAGCAAGACAATGATATGACAAATTTATAAGGGTTTCAATTTTTCCATTTTACTGCGGATCCATTAAAATGTCCGGTCACAATGTGAGAGTGATGTTTTATATTTTTCATATTCTAAAAACTCCGCATGCATGTTTGATTGCAAAATCAAAACAACGAATTTTTGTAATTTTAACTTCCTGATTGTATTGGAACGAGCAGTCAGCATTGAGTTACATTTACAAACTGGTACATTCGTGTTTAAAAATGCACAATATTTTACACGTTTTTACACAATTGCACTTTTTTCATTATAATAAATATTAAATATATAGATACGTTCCCTAGAGACTACAGCATGGGGTTCTTCAAGAAGGGTTCTTCATAATGATTATGATTTCTTAAAGGTCGGCCACGCGCGCGTGACATTCCTAGTGTTACAGGCGTCTATAGACAACGGTAATCCTGTATATCATCAAACAAAGTTTATAAAAAAGAAGTAGTTACGTGTAGATGTATGATACTATTTAATAGACATAATTAGATATTGTGACCTCCTGTGTACGTTACCAGTCGGCGGTGACCTTAAGGAAATTTTCTACCTATAAAAACATAAATTGATTTATTATTAAATTATATATTTTTTCCATATTTTATATTTAGTTTTAGTTGAAGAAGAGGTTATAATTTATTTAAGTCCTCGTTTTAATATAACTAATTTTAGTATTTTGATACTTAATATAACTAAAATCTTCGATATTATCTAATAATGATAATCAGACAGTGATGTTGATACCCTATACATGCAAAAAGAGATTTTCACTTACAATGTTTTCGCTTACTAATTGTTGACTAGCTGGCAAGCGTTGATTTGCCACCATTGGGATTAGTTTTTCATATTTGAATAAAAAAAACTATTCGTTGTCACAAGTTGAAGCAAATAATCAAATTTAGAAAAGTTCTTTACAATCGGTTAAGCCGTTTCGAATTTTTTATCTATTAAAATTTATTTCTATAAATGTACATTTTTCATTTTGTAATTTTTTTAATACAACACGATACTGCCGCTATCGGTTGCAAAAATTATTATCGAAGTTGATTCATAATAATTGCCGAAGATATCGAGTAACATACACATAAAAAAATAAATACAAATTAAGAACTTTTTTTTTAACGCTTGAAAACAGTTACGAATGTAATCTCAGGGTACAGTGTCAGTGACATTATTGGTCGCAGCTTTATATTGAACGTAACACCTCTAGTGTTGCAGGCGTTCATAAATATTGGAGACTATATATATATATATATATATATATATATATATATATATATATATATATATATATATATATATATATATATATATATATATATATATATATATATATATATATATATATATATATTCTTTCAAATGAATTCATCAATACCTTTATTATTTCAAAGGTTAGTTATTATTTTATTTCGTATGTATTTATTGATATTAAGGTATATAGCAAATTCTGATCAGTTATTAACAATTTATTTTTTAATTCAATTCTGCACTTTCGTGTTGCGTTCACATAAAGTGAAAATATTGTTTATAAATACAAAATGTAAATATTCATTCGAATCGTAATTAATTACGATTAAATTGAAACAGTCATACGATTTTAATTTTATGCAATATTCGTGCCCATCTCTAATAGAAATTACAT